TAGGGAAAGGAAAGGGGGAATTTTCAGTCAACTGCAGGAAATCTTCCAAGCAGCTGCTATTCACCTGTCAGCAAGGAAGGAATTAAAGAACAAAACAACAGAAGCGCTGAAATTGCCAATCTACTGGCGGGAAAAAAGGGATTCCCGTTGAAGTGACAACATTTTTCAACACCGAGGCGCTGCTGTGAGCCAGCTGACCGGGGGCTGGCAAAGGGCGGCACGGGATATTCTGTCACCTGGAAGTCCCTGGACGCAACTGCCTGCTGACATGTTGGTCCTGTGCTGTAATCCCATGGGGAGAAACATCTTCAGGCTTTCACATAGCCCAGGAAACCCGAGCCTGGGAGGGACTGGCAAGGTGAGTTACCCCTCTGCTGCCATGGAAAGGGCCTATGCATTTCCTAACGAGCGAGCTGGGATCACTCAGATTTCCAGTGGGACGTTCTGTCCTTGCCCTCTGGAGACTCGAGGGCCTGATTTATAATCGCTGCCATGTTCGAGTCCTGCCCTTTCACAGATTTGTGCTCTGTGATTTTGGATCTTAGTTGTCTGCACTGTTCCTATTGGTCTTGAACCCTCCCCAAGTGAGCCACGCTTTAAAACGTTTCTTAACTAAACCCTTCTGACCAATTCTTTGCTGCAGTTGCTCCTCCTGGCCTCGATCTGACGCCACCTTGCTGGTACAGACGTGCCTGGCTTAAAGCGACCGTAAGGGGGTGGCTCCTGGGGCTCCCCCTCTGAGCAAACCCTTCATTTAGCACTTCAGGCCCTCCGCATCCTCAGCGGCCGCCTTGTACGCTGTTCGTGGGGTCAGAGCGTGAGACGCCTACTGGCACCACGATTATTCACCAGGTGTGATGGTTCGCCCTCTGCGTCACCCGGCTCCGGTACAGCCGGTGCTCACCATCTCACATCTCGGTGCCTCTCTGCTGCCCCGTCTCAGCGTAAGGTCCAGCCGAGCTCCCTGTCCCCCGTACTCACTGAGCGGCTTCGAAAATGCTGCTTTAAAAACTCCTCCCTTCCATCAAAAGCATTTTGGGCCTCCACGATGGTTTAACCTGCGTTTGGTCTCCTGTACCTGGAGCCCCTAACTCGCAGCCCTCGCCGAGCGGCCGAAGTCCGCCTGCGTGTGGCCGCAGCGCCCGGTCCTGCCCTCACGGGCACGGATGCTACGGGTCTCCATCTCGTCCCCACCCTTCCCTGCAGCCTCCCATTCCCTACGTTAATCATGATCTTAGGAGGGAAAGCAGCACGTTGACTTCAACATCCCTGAACCTTGACGTAGAACAAAAAAAAAACCTTTCTGGGCTGAAACTCTTTCTTTTTGTTTTTTTTTTTTTATACCACCCACCCAGCGGAACGGCTGCTGCTCCCCCATGAGCAAGCGTCCTGCGCATGAAGAACGAGCGGCTTTCCAGGCTGCGCGGCAGCGATCGTCCTCGCAGCGCGGCAAGTTTACCATCGTATTTTGCCTACAGCTGCATTAGCAGGAGCTTGTCCAAGCTGATTCTGATTTTTGTACCAGCTCGGGACATGCTTCCTGGCGAACTGGCATCCCCAAGCGGCATAGCTTCGACGCTCACAGTTTTTTCTTACGAACAGGTAAAAGTCGTTCGCTAACTGCCTTCGGGAAGTAATTCGCTTTGTGTAACGGCGCACCTGGTATTTCAAAGGGAAGCGGCCTCGCTAGTTCTAGGCTGGTGACAAAATACTCGCAGGTTATAAGCTCTGTTGTGGGATGGGAATTCCAGCTCCGTTTTCCAGCCAAATCCCTGGTATTGGCTCCAGCGCTGCCCCTGAACACCTCCCTCTGCTGGTTTCAACTTCCCTTTCACCAACAAATGTCACTGCAGTTCTGCTTTTTAGACCAGCTGTGGAAAAGCAAATCACACATGCAAATAATAGCAAAATGAATTCCATTTATTCTTTGACAGACTACTGGTAGGAAAAAGATGCCTGGCTCTAAGTTCAGCTACCACTGCTAAAGGGATTCCAGTGCTGACATCTGTTCAGGGTACAAAGCAGGCAAAGGCAAGCAAGCTGACTGTTCCGAAACAGAAGGAGGGGTATGACGGCATTGCATAAAGCTGATAACCCTCACCTGCAGGAAGTCATCAGTTCTGACTATTTATTTCTTAAAAAAAAAAAAAAAAAAACCAAAACCCTCTCAGCTGAAGGCAGGGGTAAGGCTTGCATATAACTGGTAACAGTGTGAAACTCTTTAATTTGCAAAGGGAAAAGCAACAGCAGACAGGCCTGAGGTATTCAGTGACGGTAAACGGCCGGCTGGCTGAAACGCCCCGTTTACCTTTTCTGTGTTAGAGAACAAGAAGGCACTCGTCGAACTTCGAAAGGCAACGCTTGACAGTGGAGAAAAGGAAGTACTGCATTTAACTCGGGGCGATCATGGCCACAGGGTATTGCTGAGGTAAATAAATCTTATATTACATTTTGATACAAAAGTATTCTTTGCAGCATTGCTGGCTAACCTAAAACAACCCATCTATGTTCTGGAGAATCAGTGGATCACTAAAGAGTCATTCTGGGAAGAATTACTAAACTAGATTAAAAATAAAATTCTTGAGTAAAATGGAGGGGGGACAAGCCTATGAACAAACGAGGCACGGCTCATGTCACACTGTGGGGTCAACGGCTCAGCAGAACGTAGCATGCGTGGGCTGAAACGGATGCCCCCGGGGGAGAGGAGGGAGGGCAGCATCTGGCTTCACCGAAGGAGCGGAGGTAACAGAGTAGAGGTAGATTTGGCGTTTTCTAGATTTATGGAGAAGGACATTGACAGCTCTCCTGGTCTATGTTGGCCTACAATGGTTCCTCCACGCTGCGGTACGACGACCTGCCTGTCTGTATTCGTACACCCGCGCCAGCGTGCAGCGAGGTCGACCTCCATCTGTTACCGTCTGCAGTACAAGCGCCCAGGAAAAGGAGAGCAGGAGATGACACAGGCGCTACACGCCACCAGCAGCTGGCTGCCACCTGACGGCGTAACCCTTCGGCCCTCAGTAGGTAAGAATTTAAGAGGGGAGGCAGAGAGCGGGGGAAGCAGGACTTCAACTTCAGGAGACAAGGCTCGAGGAGAGAACAAAAAGGCCAGTGGAACCAAACCCTAAGTGAAAGGGCGACTGCAGGCCCAAACCCTCAGCGCTTGTTAGAACCATTAGTGTTGGGGAAAACGCTTCAAGTACGCTGACAGAGCGTACAGGAAGCTGGGACCAATTTTTCCTCCTGATTCCTGGAGGTTATCACCCTAGGACAGAGGTAAAAATGCATCTCTTGAGACTGCTTCATGGATAAGCCAAAAGGGTACTGACCTCACTGCACTACTGTGGTTAAAAAAAAAAACAACCCTAGAAACTCATGTCCTGTTCCTCATCTCAAGGGAACCTACGGAGCGGGGGCCCGCGGCCTGATCTCACCCGTGCCTGGCACGCCCGCGCTCAGTGCTGCCGGCCCCGAGCTCCTAACCCAGCTTCTTCACACGCTTTGGTTTCCAGCACAGATGTGCGATCTGTTTGCCTGTGGGAGATACTTAAAAGGGCTCTATCCATGCACCACAAAACCAAGCTGAGCTGCGAGCGCTGCTCCATCCCCTTGACACGTGGATAGCCAGAGAGAAAACGCGGGAAGCTGCTGCCTACAGTGGCAGAGGCTGAAGTGGTCCAAAAAGCAGTGTATTTCCCCATGGGGGAAGAACATGACAAGTGAAGAGAAATCAGTGCAACCTGACTTCGCTGTGTAAACAGTGTTCTAGCTACACCAGATAGAAACCCAGTGTATTCTGGTGCCTCCTATTTTTGTAATGGCGGAAACAGATTTGTGTTGTGTAAACAATGTTCACTGTAACGAGTTTAACCTAGCGGCTCCGCAAAGAAGAGTGAGGTGACGTCTCTGAATTCACTATGTAAACGGTCTTGTTGCTTAACACTGATGTGGAGTAAGCTGTATTGGGCGGTGGGATGAGAGGTAGTGGGGAAGGACAGCCTCTTCCCCGTTGGCTTCATACAGAGCGGGTATCCTGACTTCTCCTCCTTCTCCGTGCGGAGGTGTTGGCTGTTTTGCCAGAACTGCAGTGTGGTAACACGAAATGGAAGCTGGACTCTTGTTCAAAAGTTTAGCCCAAGAGGAAAGAGTCTCAACTCCTTCTCAGGGACAGTCCCTTCCCAAAGAGGAACATGGCTCCAGGATCTCAGGGAAGGTCAGTGCTAAGCGCGGCTCCTGATTCACAGATTAAAAATTAGATAAAATATATCCAGTCTATTAGCTGAAATCTTTTCGCTGTACAGGACTGGGACTTGCACGGGGGTATCTGCTGTTCCAGTCTACAAGTGCTCCCTCCAGAGATCAGCAACCTCCTGCCTGAAACAGCTTTGCAAAGCTTTCACGCCCCAAAGGGAAGTAAGAGTTGTGCGTTTTTAAGGCTCCCCACAAAAGGGTGACTGAAAGATCTGTTCTCCAGTGCTGTTTTCAGCTTATTGGAATGCCTGGTGGAAACGTGGCAGCGTGGTTGTGCTCAAGCTGGAGGTGAAGACAGGGGGCAATGAGTGAAGGGGCCCAAAGTTCAGCGAGGCCCCAGCTCCAGGAGATTCTTGAGGTTGGTGTTGCAAAGTGGTAAGCAGTGGCTGTGTCTCCCCCTGTGAGTAGCCCATGACCAATCCCCCTGATGACACAGGCGGATTACAAGGAGGAAGATTTAGGGGGAGGAAGCCAAGAAGATGAGAAAAGTCCATGTTAGCAGCACAGAGAGCCTCTGAAAGGTTAGCAGGGCTCTTGGAAAGCAAAGCCTCATCCAGGGGGGGTGGCTGAGGCGAAGAGGACTGAGGCTCACCAGACGAGAGAGACAGGCTGCCAGGGAAGTCTGACAAAAAGCTGTCCACCTCTACTTTGGGTAGTTTCTCAGGCAAATATGAGGTAGATCCAAGCTGATACTTTGGAGGAGGTTGAGGTGGGGAGGAGATGGGAGAAGAAGACTCCAGAGGATAGCTCATTCCCATTGGAAGAGAATTAGGAACCAAAGAATGGGGCATCCCTGAGCTCGGCATGGTTTGGAGGTGTGTGCTGTACATGCCCACAGGCAACATGCCAGGGAAGCTCTTACCACCTATCATGTCTCTGGATGCCATACACAGGACAGGACTCAGCTCTTCTTTCACTGCCACAGATGAGCTGCAGCTTAGGAGGCCCAGCATGTCAACTGGCTCCGTCTTAATCTTCAGCAGTTCCTGGGAGTGGCTTTTCTTCATGTGCCTGGTCAGATGATCTTTCCGCCCGAACCTCTGGGCACAGTACTGGCACAAGAAGTCCTTCCGCCCCGTGTGCACTACCAAGTGTCTGCGCACATCCTTCCGGGTGTAGAAGCGCCGATCACAGTGGTCACACGGATGCTTCTTTTCCTTCGCTCCACCAGAAGCCCGCCTAGAATGAGCTTTGAGGTGCTCCAGCAGGACTTGGGTACTTTCAAACGTCTGGAGGCATACCTTGCAGCTGAGATCGCCGCTGGCTGCTGCATGCATGGCCAGGTGCCGCCTGAAGCCGAGTTTCGTGTTGTAGTTCTTGCCGCACTCCGGGCAGTGGAGGGCCTCCTTGTTGGGATCGTGGGTCTGGAGGTGGTTGCGAAGGTGGTCTTTCCGGTGAAACATCTTCTCGCAGTACATGCACTGATGAGGCTTCTGAGCAGAGTGCGTGGCCATATGCCTTTTGGGAGAAAAGCAGGAAAGTTTAGACTAGCGTCCAACCCCTAAGAGAACACACGCTACTTTTTCAAAATTTTCCTTGTGTTCTACGCTTTATGCCACACAAATCCCTGATGGCATTTCACCGCCACTAAAAGATGCCGCCCCGACAGCCTGGGCAGCGGGGACTCTCCAGGCACAGAAGCACAACATTTCAAGCAACAGTCAGAGTCTGTCTCAGCAGTGCCCGGCCGCCCTAGAACGCATCACGTCTGCACAGGTATACGTCAGTCGTCTACTCGGCTCCTGTTCTCTCTGCTGAGGCTATCAAAGGGGGGGCGTGACACAGAAAACCTGGGTGGTTTATGACAAGAAACGCTTGTCTGCTGGTGGGATGGCTTTGTTTCATCAGGAGGCATCAGACTGTGGCAACGTCTGCTGACGGCCACTGCGGACTGATTTCACCTTGGCATCTTACCCTCTCTGACACTGTGGTTCATCTAGTTTCAAGTTCCTAGGAATGATATCATTTAATTATTCTCTGCTGTATTTCAGTACATAAATAGGAACTCTGCTTCTTCATGCTAGAACAATAGCTGCCATAGAAATATTCCTGTGATTAAAGTTAGAGGTAGGGCTTACAAAATGCAAACGCTGCTATTCTTGCTTTTCATTCTGTGTTTTAACCTGTGAACTTCACTTTCTGCTTCCATTTCCTCCTTAGTAAAACAGCAAACAGCTTGAGCTCAGGATAAAGTGCTATCTGAGGTGCTTAGAGAGATGCCAAGTATGGTAACATCTGGCACTCAACTGCCTTGCAAGGTAACAAGGGCATTCCCCCTCCTCCACCTTCTCAGAAATTCAACTAAAAAAACACGATGGAGGGTTTTTCCCCCTCTCTTCTGGTAGGGGAGCACTGTTCGGCAGAGGCACTCAGCAGTTACCTACCTATATAGCTTGTACTTAGAAGCAAAAGCTTTGCCACAGTGCAGCTGAGGGCAGTTGTATGGTCTCTGCTCGGTATGAGAAAGTGTGTGAGTTCTCAGCTTGTCCACATTAGTGAAGGAGGTCTCCGATATTTCACATTGGCATTTTCCCTGACTTTCGGTCTCTTCACCTCTTGGTCTGGGGACTAATTTCCAGCCTGTCTCTTCCTCCTCCTGCTTTGCATCTTGAATCCAGTTGGGAACACTGGGAAAAAATGCCGTCATGGCAGGTCTAGTAGAACATGGCCATGTCAAGCAGAACTCGAGCCTGCAGGCGTCTTGCTGTGATGTTGTCCCGGTGCAGTTTTCAGTTGGAGCCCGCTGTAACCAAACTGCTTTAACAGCAAAACATCTTCATCTGAAATCACAGAAGGGCTGGTGTTAAGCCACTGCATCTTTCACCCGTGCACACAAACGCATGTGAGCATTCAACAAGCATAGAAACACGTGAAGATGCATGTTCACAGACATGGGAAACTCCCACCTCCAGAACGCGTTTCATTCTTTTCTCCCTTAACCCGCTACCTGAACAAAATGACGTTAAACTTTTTCTGAATTACGTTTTTGCAACTATTAAGAGCCCGTGTTACCTGTTACATGCATTTGCTCCTGAAAGATTGTAGGTAGGCGTCTCTTTGTAGCTCTGCATACCTCACCTTTTCCCGTGTGTTTTGTGGACCGCTTCTCATCCCCTTTTTTCAGGTTCTTCATAGTCTATTCTCCCTTGCCCTTGATCTTTGCTTACATGGAACTCCCTGCTAGAGCTTCGCAGAGAAGCTAAGCTTCCCTTGTGTGCATTCATCCACTCTGCAACCAGCCTGGTGCGCTCGTAAGAGCACCTCCTGGCAAACCGATCGGAATTACCACACGTGGGTCAATAGGGCTGGGGAAGAAAACTTGCTATTATCAGCAACATCACACCTTTTTCAGGAAGGCAACAGACGCTGCTTCTCTTCAGGGTGTGATTAGTCATTGTTTTTTCACTTTTCTAATGTGGGGCAGATTCTGCCTCTCTGGATTAGCAAGTTTTCTACAGTAATGAGCAATTTTTTTTAATTTTTTTTTTTTTTTACACTCTCATCCATTGATAATGGAAGCTCAAACTGTTTCCCATTCAACAAAATATACCTCTGGTGTGCCCTGCTGGCTTTCACGTTGATGAAAATCTACTTTAGTCTCTCTTGGCAGGTTGTTCTTGAGTTGTGTTTGTCTTGTTGGCAAAGTACTGCATTTTTATGTGGTTCTACCAGTACCTAAACTGGTAAACGGCTAGCTGAAATAAAAACCTCAGAAAAGATCTCGTTCACTGAATTTAGCTGCCTGAGAAACTCTTCTTAAAATAGCATCAAACCCTCAAGCTCTTTCTCACTCCATGATTGCTTCAGAGGGAGGAACTTCCTGCCTGCAGATCAACACGAGTGCCAGTTGTGGGCAGGATGTGCAACTACGAGGGAACTAACCAACCCCCATTAAGAAAGCGCACCACTGAACGTTATGAATAGCTGAAATAACAATAACCGTAACTACACCATCGCTCACAATGCCGTGAATGGTTCCCTCAGGATGGAAAACACCGGGAAATGGGACCACTCTGAGAATATCCGTCACTATGAGGTTGGGAAACATCCATTAAGAACAGAATTCAGTTTTGTACAGGCTGAACCTACTCAGGCTGAGCAGAACGCTAACGGACTAGAACTGCTGAGGTGCCACTTTGGTACAAGCCAGTGTGACGTGACGGCTGCTCCTACCCCTCAGGGTGCAGGAGTCCCACAGTTCGGAGCAGTCTTCCTTTGTAGGTGTCTAAGATCATGAATATTTCGCCTCTCTCTGAGAGGTGTGCCGGAAAAGAGAAATGTTCTCTACCTCCTGCTTCAGAGCTGCGCACGCGCTCCGGGAGCCTCTGCCGCTTTTGCCAGGTAGTTGCTTCTTGCCCTCTGAACAAGCTCAGCCATCTGTGCCAGTTTCAAAGCTACCTGAAAGAAGACAAAAAGTTTGAATTTTGCTGTATTTAACAGTAAGGCGCAAAAACTCTCTATCGCCTTCAGAGCAGAGTTAAGACGTGGTGATTTCTGTAATTGGTTATTGTAAAATTTCATCAACTTCCCTTTAAAATGTTAAGGTTCTAGCAAGAAAAAGGACTTTACCTAATTTGGGTCCAGGTCTAAATGCATGTGGTAGGACACTCTGACAGATAAGAAAAAAGCCCAAGGTGAGGGTCTCACATAGCATCAGTGAAACACAGCAGCAGGGAAAGGTCAACAACTCGGTTCGCGTGTGGCTACGAAACTCTCTGCGTGATCTATAGATTTACGTTTTTAAAAACTCAATCAATTTTCTTAGTAACACTTCCCCAAAGAACGTTTCCAATGTGTGCTCTGTTCACTAGAACTCTGTAGCCACCAAAGAGAAACAGTCCCCGCTGTCGGGAAACGCTTCACCTACGCTTGTTCAGAGAATGTCTCGTACATCACAGCCTTTGTACCAGCACTGGGAAATCTGGTTCTCTTGGGAAGTTTTGTACTAGCGCTGGAAAAATGTGTCTAGCCCAGGCAGCTCCAGAAACCTTAAATAAGTTGGTTACAGAATCCCCCCATCACCAGATGAATCTTCCTCTGCTTCAGTTAACAGAGGTTAAGGGGTTGGCAGGGTGAGCACAGAGCTGGAAAAAAATAGGACCCACCTGAGAGCTGGATCCCCACTGGCTACCAACTTACATGAAATATTCCCTTACTACAGTCATCGGGTTTGTGCAAGCTCAAGCTGGAAGAGCTCATACAAGCCGATGGATCGTGTGCCATGTACAAGATTCCAGCCACTCAGGTCAGGTTGGTCTGAGTCAGTACACAGCACAAAAAAGCTCTTGGGCTTCACAGAAAGTCCCTGGGATAGAGTCCACCACCTGCTTTGGCAGTTTGTCCCACTGTTTAATCCTTCTCAAAGTATGGTTCAATGATGCAGCATTTCTGCACAGTTTCTGTCCTGAGACACGGAGCACCACCATTCCTCAGCTGTGTAGGAAAACCTTGTGACCTAGGCTGGGAACTGCCCAGGTTAAAAATAATCAGGAAAAAATAAGAAGGAGCCTGGGTGAGTTCTCTGAACGGACCAACAGCAAAGCTGTGCCGATCCAGCTGGAGCGGGCATGCAGCAGCAGCAGTGGGAGGCAGGGACGTGGGGCCTGGCAGGCTGCCTGGCCCGCCCCTGGGTTGTGGAGCTGTGGGTTCTCTTTTCTAAAGGGCATCTCTTGTGTCTGATTTGTGTTTTTCTGCCCTTGGCTTCTACCCGCTGAGCCTCTGCTAAGGAGCTGCTCCAGCAATGTCACTTTTCCTCCTGCAGGGACAGGGAAGTTGGCCTCGGGACTCCTGCGTCCCCTCAGTCCTCACCACCCCCTCCTGGGCTGCACTGGCCCGGCTGTTTTACAGCTGCACGCTGCTGTGGCTGAAGGAACTTACCCAGCTGAAAAGTAACTTTTAAAAAAAATTTTCCTCCCCCAGCCAGATCAGTCCCCCACTCAGGTTTGCTAAGCTATTTTAAATTGTTAAAGCTTAAATTTGCTCAAGTGGAAGGTACCAGCTACGGAGCAGAAAGCAGAGGCCAGAACCCACGGTGGGCGCTCGGCCTCAGCCCGGTGTCGTGCCTCAAACCCAGCTCCTGCAGCGGTCCCAGCTGGAACTGGCCTGGGCACAGCTGCACTCATGCATTTATTGACTTTCCTACACGATGATCAGTGACCACAACATCTTAAACTTCTGCAGCAGCATCCCTCGGAGCAGGTCTCTCGAAGGCCCCACGCAGCGTAACAAAATCAGCCCCTACTTTTCTTTACAGTGTTCTAATCAAGTCCAGCTCCAACCCCTGACTGCAAGGCTCTGGTTCTGGAACTCAGATCACTTTGTGACTTTTCGATATCCTCTGCTGTTTTCCAATACCGGGGGTTTTTTAATTATAAGGGAGAAAAAGAGGTGCATACCAGGCCTAGATGCAGTACTTCAGTAAAA